GTATAACATATTATGTAATTCTTATGCACAGGTTTCTACCCAAACCTAATCACATATGTAGAGTAGCCTGACCTCTGATGTATCATTGAAATCTGATGAATGGTTCTTAAGATATTATTGGAACAGAGACACATACTGACAGGGAAATGGCAAAGATTCCCAGTTATTTTCTTCTACACATGCAGAGACTGAAACCATAACAATTCTAGTAATAAAATAAAAAATTGATGACCCTTTAATTCAAGAATTGACATATAATTGTTCTCCATGCACTTGTGCATTGCACACACAGCTATACAAGTAGGTAATTTCCTGGCCACCTTTTCACCTAGAAAGAAAGTTCTTTAATTTATGCTATACGTTAATCTTGATATTTGACCCGCAATCATTAATCACCTTGTTGGTGAAGCCTCTGGAGTCGAGAATGGTTAATTGCTAAATCCCTCATAGCTATGAAGTTGTCTGGAGTGACAGCTAAGAAAGCAGATGGGAATGGGGAGGAGATCATTAATTAGAATGGCACAATTGTTCTGTCTATATCTTGGTTCTACATTTAGTAATTTTTATCATTTTTTTCTGTATTTTATATGTTATTTTGGACCAAATGGGAATAATTTCCCATTGATGACAGGTCTTGATCAAAAGAAAAAAAATACAGAAATAAATTATGGCAGTTTTAATTCATCATGAAAAAGGGTTTTATTGAAGGATGATCAACATTTGCATATCAGATATATCTGAAAAACACCCTCCTGCACTCTGAAAATGCAATGTGTGGAAAGGTTAGTTTAGGATAAAATACTATACAGGATACTTTCAATATTTTAAGATTTTTTTCAGCAAAAACAACAACATTTTCACATATTTTATATTTGCGGACAATTTAGATGATTTTCCAGAGATTCTCACGAATTTGTCTCTTTTGAAATTGAAGCAGTTTACCAATATAATCAGTCAAATCAACACCACTTTCTCAAATAAAATGTCTTTAATAATTTTATTGAAACTATCATAAACACATACTCTGGTCAATAAAATATTAAAAGCAAAAAAAAATTAATATTATAATTTTGTGTTTATTCCATGATAATTAAACATCTATTACCCGGCATAGCCATAGGAGTAAAATGCTAGAATTTTCACACTTGATAACACCTGACATTTTTAACTCAACTTCAATGCACATCACACTGCATACCCAATGAATGTATGCAGCATAATAATGAGACTGTGCCTGTCACTATTAATACTGGAAATATAAATGAATAATGTCATATTGCATGATTTTTACAAATTAAAATAAACTTTTCAGTGTGATAAATCAAAATAAAACACTTATTTCAAATGTATTACGAGCCACTCTATGAATTTAGGGCTTGCAGAGTTGTATAACACATGGTACTTATGAAGAAGTAAGTTTGGAAATTAAACACACTATCATCTTTTTTTTATCTTATGAATCACTTCTTGTCACAAGCATATTGGTAACTCAAAAAACAAAATCTTAAAAACATGTGTTACTTTTAAAAGTGTGATGACCTCTTAATGACACCAAATAGGTAAAAATTTATAACAATATTGTCGCATCGAGAGCACTATTATATTGCTACACATGAGGGTGTTAAAATACCTTATAGGAAAGCTACACGTATATTGTCACATGGAGGCACTTTATTCTACATGGTGGTGGCTATATTGCTAAATAAAAAAACAAATACACATAAAATGCTAATGGGGGTGCTATATTTCCACATGGAGATGATATATTGCCAGATGAGTGTACTATATTGCAAAATAGATAAACTATAATTATTGTATAATTATTATAACTATAATTATGTATAATTATTGCCCTCACAGGATGGAGATGTTATTGGGATGTAATATTTACTAGCTTATACTAAAATATGTTTGGATATTTAGAGTAGTTATATACATTTAGTTGCTCATGATTGCTTCAAAGTTGAGTTTGTGTTCTTTCCTCAACTTTTCCTCGGCTGTTTTCACCGGTTCTTCGACCTGCATTCTAAAGCAGCTTGTGCAGAGCCCATAGAAATACATGGTACAGTGGTGAGCATCTTAACAAAGAATGGTCGCTTCATATACTTGGAATACTATGATATGATGGTACATAATTCAGTTAATAAAAATGAATTAATTACAAACTGTGGTAACCCTACAGGATCTGAATATTGCTAACAATGTAATGACTAATATCCAACACGTTAACGCTTCAGTTCACGTGCTTGGAATATCACAATTGCTATGATACAGATAACAGTAACATTTCATTCTCTCTCAGGGCTTTGTTTTTACACCATACTTCACTTTCACTTACAAACCAACAAAAAAAAAAAATCCTTGACTGCAGTGCATGTATGAACACCATGATGTATTCATCCTTCCCAGGGGAGCAATAAAGATACAAGTCTGTTTTTTTTATGACTGTTCCAATATTTCTCTTGAGATTTGAATATTTGACTGGGTGAAATTAAACATTAAAAATTCATAACCATCAATAGGGCAATTATTTCACTTCATGCATCGTGGTTGATCTGATACCATCTAATTTCTGAAAGTTGAAATCAGGTCAACATCCATACGAACAAATGAATTGCTATCTCATCTTATTAATTTTATACTCCAGCTGTTATGATCGGGAAAAGTGCGAACCATTCCCCCATTATTACATGTAGGCTTCACTTTTTCACACAATACCTATATTTATTTTAGTCATTTCTCAAATGGAAATACCATATTTGTTTATTAGCAGTGCACTTTTTGGCCTGATGTCCTTTTACCCATTTATTTCAGTATGACTATGGAGACTTTCAGCAGGTGATGTAATAACATAAATGCATGAATTATAATAAATTTTGCCAGCAAGCAGATGATGGATTTGACAACTTTTTGTACAAAGCTCAGAGTAACTTGCACCAATCATATTCTTTGTTATGTGTTAATTCTGGCAGTATCAGTGGTTTGTGGTTTCGTGTTTCTTTTTGAAAAATTACATCATCAAGACACAAACCAAATACATCACCTGTCATGATGGGACAAGAAAAATTAAAATTTTCAAAAAATGAAAAAATCTGATAATAACCACTATTCAATTACATCAGGTATCAGGGTAGCGGTTTTAAGAGTACATGTAAGTTGAAAATAATTTTTGTTACTTAGAAATTTAGAAGATTTAAGTTATTATCACAAAAATGCAATAATATAATATAGAATGAACAAAAATCCTCATTAAAAATAGAAAACAAATACTCGCACAAAATAACTGGAAATAAGACCACCCAAAGGCACCTACTTAAACACTCACTATGGATTCTATCGAAATAGTAAGAAGAAGTGTCATTTATGAAAAGTTCATGACAGATGATTAACAATCAGTCTTACCATAAGCCTCACGTCAGCAGACAGCGAAGCTAATACATAATATTATCATAGTAGACAAATGTCTGTAAACTGAATCTGAATTGATTCATTAGAAGACAAATTTGATTACAGACTCAGTTGTAATAGATCATTTGCCAATTCCAGGTGCACATGATGTAATTTTCGTTTACGTCAGCAACATGCAGACTCGTGAGAAGTTGTTTCAGGATGCATACAATCACCACAGACTATATTTGTAAAGCGACTGCATACAATGTAGTTTGAATTAAATAATTTACTAAAAAAAATATTATTATATTAAAATATTATTTTGGAAATTTTAATTTCTTTGTTAGTTTTGGATCAAATGAACATAATCCCTATTGGCTATAGAGCTCTTAACGAAAATATTTGATGTTTTTTAAAGAAAATTAAATAGGTTCGTTTCATGACAAACAAAATTTACTTCAGCATTTATAGGTTAATTTATCTGTCAAGTCGAGGGGTGATATTTTGAGAATGAACAATGAACTAGAATGGACAAGATGGCAGACTTGATGACCTACTCTGACATATCATGACACCCTAAAACCTGAAAATGTGCAATTTAGTCCGATAGTATGTTTTCATAATAAAGAAGTATAAATTATGATAATAAATGGCATTTTACATAACCTCCACTCATTTATAAAAGGAAATAGTTGACCCAATTTAAGTGCAATTTCTAGGTTATTGAAACGGTACGCCAGTCTGTCTGGCAGAAGCACGTATGCTATAACGGCAAGGCCATTTAAGTCTGCGAATCACAGTACTTATTACTATCGTAAAATAAACCGCTCAAGCCCATTCTATCACTGATCAATCAAGTATCACCGCAGCTATAAACGGCGATCGTAAACACCGAGCATTGTACACTGTTATAGGTTAGCACAAATATGCTTTGCATATTCACAAGTCATTAAGGAAGATTGTTGATGACAATTCAGACTTCACTGAAGGAGACAAAAAATATATATTTAAATTACCAAGCTAGTATTTTTTTGGAGAATGTCTGACATTGTGGGAAATAAAATTTTGTTTTTGTTATATCAGTATTTACCATATCTTGAATGTGATAAGTTGTTATCAATCTGATTCATTATTTCAAATTTTGAAAACAATGCCATCATGAAATTTTATTTCACCATTATATTCCATATTAAGTATTTCTATCCTGTAACATACTTTTAAATCCTGTGAATGCCAAAGTAAACTTTTGTCGTCTTTCACAAAATAATTTACTTAAAATTTTTCAATGATTTGTTTCAAAATTTTGTCCACTATTAACAGAAAAATGAGAGAAAAATACATAAATCTTTGCAAAATGGCATTCAATGGTTTATGTACTGCACCATTGCTGTTGGCACTGACGATGCTACCTTATCAAAGTAGGGATTGAAAATACACATGTACTGACAGTTTGTCAAACTTACAGTCACAACAAACAGTCATACAGTGCTCAATATTGTGCAGTGAAAAAAAAAACATACAACAAGCTTAATGATTCATTTTTGAAAAAAAATTGGGTTAATAATTTTCAAAAATTTTACAGCAACCAATCAAAATATTTGTTACATCACCTTTTTTCCCCTATCTGTTTCTATAGCAAGACGCATATAAGGTATCCGCTGATTGGACAGTTATAATCTGTAATGATAATAAAGAATATATTGGCATCAGCATAGTTACATGAAAAAGTCATGTTTGATGATTCCATGAAAATAACAGTTGTAAACACATTCAATTATTCACTATTTTTTAATTTCACTATTTTACAGGCAAGTAAAATTTGATAAATTCAATCTATGTGTACACCTAGAAAAACAATAGAACTCATTGTTTCTCAGACAAGTTTATAAACTTGAAACACCACCATTTATTTTCCCTGAAATTTAATTTCACTTCTTTGGTGTTTTGAGCAAATATTCACTCGATTTCAAGTTCACAGATTTACCAGGGAGTTACAAATATTTATTGTTAATTAATATGTTCACATTGGTTTAATTTTAGCACGTTTTACTTTAGCAAAAAGTGAAACTAAAACTCAGGAATGATTAGTATATTTACATTATATGTAAAATACAAAATGTTTACAGGAGATTAGCCTAAAAGAGGACAATAAAATTGAGAAGTGATGGAGGCAGAAACAAGTGTAACAGAGTTACACTATAGTCGACATCCTGTTTCTCACTGATTATGTACGTTATCATATATGTTAGAGTTCATTACAGTTATTATAAAAGAAAGGGGAAAAGCTGCGTGAATGCTGTTAATGGATTGCTGGAGCACCATGTAAGGAGGGAAAATCACAGTTGGAGTAGCAGCCCTGAAATAACTACATTTATACTCCTATATCATTACCATCGGTGTGACTTTAGTATGAACTATATCAGTGATCACATATGGCGTGCTGATAATGGGAGCAGCGGTACTGAACAACAGGACATTGTCCCCGTTCGTATTAAGTTGAAATGACATTTGACGTCATCAAAGGGGGGAATTATATGAAGCAAATTTCATCATAATCCAAAACGAATTGTCATGCATACGTGACCAACTGTATGTCTTTGTACAACATTGGTTAATACTGTAAAATCTGTATTAGAAGCTGCGGCTTGTATAAAAATGGTAGAATGTAACATAGGGGATGCGGCTTCTATTAGAGCACATACACATATGAGAAATGATGAATTTTTTGTTCTCAATTATTTTAAAAGAGTGGGTGCGACTTCTATTAGGGATGCGGCTTCTAATACAGATTTTATGATATATATAGTATACAAGTGTTTCACATGGGAAAATCTAAATCATGGAAAATGTGCATGGACACATGACTGTCAGTTGGCCATTTTTAATAAAATCGTGAAATTGAAGTGTTGATCAGTACCAATTTCAAATGAAATCGGCTCAGGTATATCTGAGAAGTAGACATCAGTAAAATGATGTGAAAAGGTAAAATATCAAGCAATAGGTAGTCATGATTCTGGAAGGTCACATAATATGAATTTAAAATAGAGAAAGGAGTTTGACAGAGCTGGCATGAGTAAGACATGACAAATGCTGTTTTATGGTGATTTGGGAGATGAAATGGTGAAAGGTGAAAAAAACAAAAGACAATTTAACATGGACATCTATATGTAGTGTACCATTATTGTATATATTTGTCGGTCATGGCTTGCCAAGTAATGATGTCGGGTTTACGAATGAACACAAAGACGGACAGATAGATGAAATCCCAAACAGTGTCATCAGTGACAAAAAAATAGCAACCAAAATAATCATGCAACAGCATCACCTCTAAAAAGAAGAGATATTTATAGTACACAAGTTCTTTCATCAATACCGCTAGTACAAGTAGGTGTTATCAAATATTAGAAAATATGATCTAATTTGAAGCAAATTGAGTGAACAGGTCTGAGAGGTAATATATTTTTCATAACTTACAAATGATATTAGGATGGTTGAAACGGATCAGATAATGATACACATGCCAGAGGCAGCAGAGTTCTTCTTACATTTTCATTTCACTTTGATTTAAGAATAAATGCATATGTCTGATAACATTATTCCTTGATTCAATTACTGTTGTCTGAGTTTCATATTATTCACAAATTTAGATAGGGTATATTTTCAGTGTGATTTACATGTAGTTTGAAATCTATTATAGTATTGTATGTGTAGTTTAATTGTAGTTTATTTTAAAAAAGCTTTAATACAGCAATTACCAAAACTGAAATGTCAGTTTTCATTAAGGATGTTATAAAGCATTATTCTATTCTATTCTATTCTATTCTATTCTATTCTATTCTATTCTATTCTATTCTATTCTATTCTATTCTATTCTAATCTATTCTATAGATTCTGTACATGTAGATACGTCTTTTCCTTCTTTCTTAGTGATGACATTCTTTAGTCTTACTTTCTGGTCACAAAGTGTGCATACATATACTGTGGATACTATTTTTAATTTTAATATTTTTGCAGATAAGTAGAATCGGCTAAATTAGATTCCGGCGAGCATGATATTAGAACTTGTTGTTTCTCTGTAAAATTCATAAACTTAAAACCCAGTGTAATTGCTGAACATTTAGAAATAGTGAAATTAAATGCCAGTAAAAATAAATGGTTTTACAGAAGTCTTATGTGATGTAGGTTTCACACCACAATTAGACAATATATAGACTATTACTGCATTTGCTCTATTAGAAGTGCATGAAAAAAAAATCCCATTTACTTCTGAGTCAGTAGTGTATATACTGAATCATGACTTTAAACATAGAAGCACTGAAAATTACGTAAAAGCAAAGTTGGTATAAAAACAAACAACCTTGTACCCTTGAGTAAAAAAAATAAAATACGGTAAATTAAAGCTAGATGAACCACGCTATTAAAGAGGAAAAATTGAACCAGCTAACGACAGTTTAGACTACTACTAATATTTCAAAGGCTATCAGTGTTCACTAAAATCTGACTCATAAATACGAGACACAGTTATAATCTATTGTACCACAACCGTCTTTAATTGGCCAAAGGACAGTCTAGAATTTCTATGGTTTTTGCTGTAACCTGGTTATGGTGTGTATAATGAAATTAAAGTACCAACAACTCCCAATATGCCACAGTTGGTTTATAAGCAATAACGGTAAAAGTTTTCCCATAACTCTAAACCTAACAGTGTCCCTCCCCCCATTTTAATTGTATATGCCTTCTTCAAGACGCATATTTATCTGAAGGGGCATATACAATTACATTGGAAGGCTCAGGTTAGGGCTGGTGTGGATTTGAGTACTAAGCTCTTTCTACAGTAATCATCACACAACTATGATTTAACTAGACAACATATATTTAAACTTGATGAATACAAATGTGATCTCATGCACCTATAGCACGCTTTCTAATTGCAGTATGAAAACTATAATAGATAAATTAAAAACACTCCCCTTAAATCCTGGTAATATTGGATTTTTGTATAGTACTTGAATATAGTATTTATTTTTAATAAATTGAATAAGTCATTTTATGGCTCATGTGGAAACACAAGAAAAAGGTTGCAGTTAGTAATAGTTGTAAAGAATAGATTTTCTCACAAATGACAGAAACAAACAGGTATTATGTAATGTCGCTCAATAAGTGTGTACTATTTCAACAGTATACATTGTATACCAACACAATGGTTTGTACATTTCAACATCTGCAGAGAAACTCTCGCTACTGTAGAATGCTTTATTTTCGTTTGGAATTAATTTCTGCTATTTTAGCTGAAGGGATGATTCCGTGAAAATAAAAACCAGCGAATATACTTTTTTTCCTATATTTCACATTCAACTCATCAAAAATCAGTGAAAATAAATTATATACAAAACACCCAAAAAACCCTTTCAGCGCAAAATTAATTCCAGCTAAAATAAAGTATTTTACAGTATTTATTTCTGCTACATGCATGGTAGATAGCAAATAGAGGGAATTTGATTTTCTTCATTCAATCATTTAAACAATTACTTTAGAGCACTGCAAAGAGAATCATATTATCTTATTTCATTTTCTTCATCCTTATAAAACAGAAAATATCAATTTTATTTATTTTTGGATGAGACGTTATCTCAATGTGATAAAAATATCAACATATTTCCGGTAATAGTCAAAGATAAATAAAGTTTATTTTTGGAAAACATGATAAAAGGAAGAAATAGAGCAATGTGTATTTTTAATAACTGATGACAAAAATTAACCCATACAGTAAGACGTTATTTAGAATTAGGTAAATAGCTTAAAGCATTTTCTCATAATAGGACAAGCCATTTTCTCAGAACACAGTACAAGGCGTAGAGACTTCATTCTCTTCATCTTCATAGCATATTTTTATTTTGTACAAGGACTGTGCGTTTGTGATCTTCTTTGAAAGAGAATTTATTTCTGATATCATTAAATGATTACATTTTCTTGGTAAAAATATTGTCATAGATCTCAGTAAATAAAACAGAACAAAGTGAATATTTTTTTAATAACTTATGACAACAATTATCCTGTAGATTTGGACATAGTTTTAAGTCTACATGGAACCCTTTGAATGCCATAATTTTGGTGCAAGATTTCGCAAATGTTTATTCTTTTATAATTCCTTCAAACTTTTCAGCACCAGACTTTCTCGCCCAAATTTGTCTGTGCTTTATTCTTATGTTCTTCAATATTTTTGGTTTTTACTCACAAAATTTGGTTATATTTGTCCCAATCTTCTGAAGGAAAGTTCAGACTATAAACCTGACTATTTGGTGAATTTGTAATGAAACAAGCAGCCTCTCGGCTGAGATAGCTCCGCTGTTAGCAATGCACTTTTTAATTAAAGAACAGAAGATATCATTAGAAAATGAATATGTATAATATCAAAACAATCAGACTTGCGGTTTTCAACAAGAAGTCGAAAATATCACTTTTTACCAAAAATTACAAAAATATTCACCAAAATTAGAGAATTGAAGATATCATTACAAAATGAACAAATCTGAGAAAGGTCCACATGTAGTACCTATATATGTAATATCAAAGCAATTGGACTTGTGGTTTTTAACAAGAAGTTGAAAATATCACTTTTTACCAAAAATGACAAAAATATTCACTAAAATTAGAGAATTGAAGATATCATCATGAAA